CTCTTCTTCCTCTTCTTCCTCTTCTTCCTCTTCTTCCTCCTCCTCCTCCTCCTCCTCCTCCTCCCCCCCTCCTTCATTATTATTATTACCAAATATGATATTCCAAGTGGGTTCTCACCAAGGCAAAAAATAATGGGATAATTACTTCCTACTTTCTACTTACTATCATTTCTTGCTAATACATCCCCAAATAGCATTTGCCCTTTTTAGAAGCTACATCACATTGTTGGCTTATATTCAGTCTGTGATTGATTGGAACATCCAGATCTTTTTCTGTTATGTGGGTAGTCCTTGCTTACTGACCACTCATTCAGCAACTGCTTGAAGTTACAGTGATGCTGAATGGAATGGTACTTGCAGCTGCTTCTCAAAATTCTGGCCATACCACCACCACCCCATTGTCATATGATCATGATTTGGGTGCTTGGCAAGCAGCTTCACTTATGATGGTTGTACTGCCCCGTGGTCACTTGATCACCATTTGTGACCTTTTCTGCCGACTTCCCATAAGTCAAAGGGGAAGCCAGCAGGGAAGGTCGCAAGTTGCTGCAGTAATTTCCATGACCTTGTATATGCTTTGTGTTGGGCCTCCCCCACTCCCCCTGGCAGTCCCATGCGCCCTACATAGGATTCCCGCTGCTTCCTGGTTAAAGACCTACCTGTACAATTGCCAAGCCGGGTCTCTCCAATCCTTGCACCTTTGATTTTCTTTTTATTCCCAGATGCAGCATTTTACATTCAGCATTTATTTATTTCTTAGATTTTATCCTGTTGTATCAGCCTGCTGTTGAAATAGATCTTTTGGGATCTTCTCTTTCTTTTCCAACATGTTAGCCTCTCCTAGTTTTATGTTATTTGCAAGTTTGATAGTCATCCTGTCAATCATTTCATCCAGGACATTAATAAAAACACTGAGAGAGTTCTCCAAAATGGAATATAATTTCCCTCTAAGATGAATACACATACCTAAATTACACATAATGTATTAACTTTGTATTTAGTGTAAAATTTTAAACATCTTAATCTATCAAAATATTCTTTTCAGCAATTAATCTATCCATTTGATCAACTAATCTGGTGTGCCTCAAAAATATAAATTTATTAAAACTGCATTTTTACATATAATGTCCTATCCTGTCTACCATGCAAATACATCAAAATTCTATCACATACTAATGTATCAAATAATAATCTTCCTACGCAAGTTTAGGCGCACATATTCCGAAAAGGAAAGGAACCCGAAGCAAGAAATTTCATTCAGAAAATGCACAAGAAGTGTTACAAATGTTTCAACTCAGTCTTGGGAAAGGGGAAGAGAAGAGGAAAATCTTTAGAAACTTTATTTTGTGCTTGTTTAGCAGATTTTCAGTTCTGTTCATATATTTTACAAAATAAAGTAACATTCCTCTAGTCTAACCCTTGTGTTGTCTGTTTCCTGATCTGGCCTATCTGAAAGGATGAATACATTAGTTTCTCTCCCCACAAAGGAGGTGGCAGAGGAAGGGCTGATCCAGGGGTGGGTTGCTGCTGGTATTATTGCTGGTTGGTGCACGATTTGCGCATTCAAGCTCACTTCGCTCGTGTGCGCGTATGCGCAGTTGCCTATAAATAGGTCTGAGCATGCGCAGAAGATTAAAAACACAAAAAAACCTATGTTGCGGCGACCAGGGAACCGGTTCGGGGGCATGGTGAGCCTGCCGTCCCTACCGGTTCAGAGACCCAGTCGCAATTTCAACTACCGGTTTGTCTGAACAGGTAGCAACCCACCTGATCTCTGATCTCTCTAGTCACACACTTCACCATTACAGTGCCGGGAGATGGTACAATAGAATATATGTCCTTCTTAGCCTTTTTATTTCCCGGTAAAACATGCACGTTAGGGGAACTGCTGGGGTTGTATTTTTGGGTAGTTATCACTTTATGTTATTATTTCATTTTTATAATGTTATTGTATTTTAATACTTTTACTATCAAAGAGAATGTAAATGATTTACATTCCTGTTGGATAGGAGTGGCATAAAAGCCCCAGGAAAGTAATAAATATGTTTGTCATTAAAAAACAGATGTTGGTTGAAATATTCATGAAGACTATTTTATTTGTTTTTCCAAGAAGTAAAAATCATAATCTCAGCAATTAATTTGATAAATAGAACCATGAGGGAATTTTAAAGAAGCTGTAGACCACCAATGAATCTGTACAAGAAAGGGCAAAGTTGGGGCAGGGCTGGGTGTGAATAGTTGAAAAAAAAATGAACATCCCATCTTTTGTTCATCTCATGAACTCTGATATATTGAATACATATACATATACATATACATATACATATACATATACATATACATATACATATACATATACATATACATATACATATACATATACATATAC